ATAGCATATAGTATTTTTTAATGAAATTAATACATTTTTGAATTGAATTAAAAAAAATAGAGGCGATACTAAATGCACGTACCTGTGTTGAGAGTAGGTATTAGCAGTTATAATTATATTTGTCTTTTTTCTGTTCCTCAGTACATCAACCACAGTCCAGCAAACACTCGAAGAGGTTTTGGTATTGACTGTGCTATATTRTCCTGTCAGGTCAGTCTCTGTTTAGTTTYCACTTTCAGGGCTGTATAAACTGTTATAAATCAGCAGTGGTAATGTTTTTACTTTATTTCCAGGGATATATCAGCCAAATTTTGGTTGCCTCTGTTCTTGGATCTGTGGTGGATGCAGTTGACAGCGTGCGTGTCATTCCGGTCGTGGCCTCCGGGGGCTCCTTCCTCAGCTTCCTCACCGCCTGTTTTCTTGTTATTTATCCCGACCCTGAACCTAGCAGCTYGGAGCAGGACTCTGTTGGTCCACCTGGAGAGGAGGATCAGATCGGAGAAAAGACCAATGACCAGAGACTGGCAATGCTGAACCTCAAAGACAAATCACAGCAGACAGAGAGTCACTCTGTTGCCTGAGCATAAAACAATCACTGGAAGCCTTTGATCATAAACCAACAGACGCATCATGTGAAAATTATACTGAACACACGTGGTGTGCAGATGGGATAATGTGTGCCTTGTGGAGGAGCAAAGACAAGAGAAAATGTGACAGATATATGTAACATCGTATCAACAAAAATATGGRAGGGTTAGATTTCAACTAAATGAACTGATGAGCTAAAAATTATCAGTTCAAAAGCTGCTTTGTTTCTGCTGTTGCAACCCCAACTCTAAAGCATACACTGCTAAGCTGGATCAGTAAGTCAACAAAGCCAGATGACTGTTTTCTCAAACTGCTGAAAGTAATGTAGTTCACACTGCTGGAGCCAAAACCAAATTAAGCACAGAGCACTTTGATTGACATCTGAGCTGAACTCTCCCATTTATGCTGCAAATCAGCCACAGTGTGGGACTCCACAGACGCTGCTTCATTACTGACAAAACGACAATCACCACATTACTTTGTGCAACCTAAATGTTACTGTTCAGTACATGCCAAAAAACAACAAAAACCACAAGAAAAGCCTTCAGAGTTTATTTTAGTTATATGAAAAAAACATCAAGTTCAATTATGTTGTTCAAACCTTTTTGCCAGAATAATGGATTCTTTGGGGTAATTTTTTTCTACTAATTTTGTTCAATTTTTCCCAAAAAATGTGATGAAAACTGATTTTGGGAGTGTTTTAGTTTTAATTGTGCTTATATTGCGCAGTGACTTTTATTTAGAACTTTATCATCAAAATGCATTTGAATTGACCGATAAGGTCACAGTGTTAAAAAAAAAGGAAATATAAATCACTGCGATTGATTAAAAAAAAAGGGACCGGTTTTGATATTTTTTATATCTATACATTTAAAACAAAATGGCCTTTTTTTTCTTTCTGCAATATGACGTCCCTGTAAGATTCCAGCTTACCTCCGGATGAAGAATACATGTTTAAGAGTCGAGTGAGGATTACAGTAATCAACATAAAAAAATAAATAAATAAGCTATCTTTAATCTGGCAAAAGCTGACAGATAAAAATATAAAACAAGTCCTGCTGAAATGTCCATTTGTTCGGTTTGGTTATTTATAAAAACAAGTTTCTTGTGTTCATAGTTTGCATTAATGTGATGTTTCATTTGTGAACTGCTGCCACCTTCAGGCCCAGATGTGTTATTACAGTTCACTTTACTCTAGTTCTCTTATTTGCTTTTTTTTTATTTTATTTTGAGAGAGAGAGTAATGTGCCAGCATTTCAAAATATATCACCAAAACGTAAACACACCCAACTGCATGAGTCACACATAGTCTTCAAACTATGTGAAAGAATAGGAACAAGTTAGAACTGGCCTGCAGAGAAACAGAAAGTGGGATGATGATGTAGGGAATTATGGCAAGCCATTTTAGCATCTATTTGCTGGAAGTCATGTCCCTATTTTATGCTTTCTCTGTCCTGGTTATTCAAGYCCTACAATAATTTTCTTTCAACTAGTGAACATTTTTTAACATTGACTAGTTCATTAGTAAAGTCAAAAGACTTGAACTTGACTCACTAGTGAGCTTTTTGGATGTATAAGTCATCGTAAACTGTGCACATTTAATGGTCAGTTAAATTAAATGTGATTAAATTAAATG